TTAGCTTCAGTGGGCGACCATGTGAGAATTGCAGAGAGCTAGCTGCCGGCAGCTAGGTACAATCCGTTCGGTTAAACACACATCACATGACAGCATACTCAAATCCCCACAAACGTGTAAACAAAGAGTCACTTTAATTTCTGAAGGAGATTCGCCATCAAGACCAAGTTGTAGATTACTTCAGAAGAGCAACTTGATCAGATGATCATTATTCAGAGGACGATCGTGTGTAAAACAGCCATAAATGAGGTTGGTGTCATGATCTCGTTTCTTTCGATTGCGTATGCGCATTAGCTAGGACAACCTGAAAATATGCTGACTTTGTTTGTTGTTTAGAAACAAAGCCTATGAGACAGATGTTGTTAAATTTCATTGGTGATTGCAAATATGTAATGTAATCATAAGCTTGGCAAACAGTTTTGGAGAATTAGATGTTTCCCCATTCAGACAGAATGCCCGAGCATATTGCCCGAGAGGTGTTTCAAAGATGACTGCAGAGTGAAATGACTTAGCGTAAAGGAACTTTAGTTACACTTTATAAATTATAATATTTACAATTTTTTGTTAATAATTGCTACAGTATATTTCCAGTATTAATAAGAATGAGCTGATGACCTGTAATACTTTAGCTTATACCACAGTAATCTGCAGTGCATTGCAGTATAGTTTTAGAACCTACAGTATCGGGTAATTTCTTTTAATTGTTTTTTCATAGCAACTATAGAATTACCACAACAGAAGAGCACAATATTTTACCATAGTATCGTTCAAAAACACAAGCACTTTTTTAAATAAATTACTATAGTCTTTTTAAACGTGGCTGCACAAACACACACTACTGTATATAAAAAATATTTAAAAAACAGCAGCATAATAATAGTAACACCCGATTCACATGGGGAGTGCATGTCTGAAGTTGGCCCATAAAATTAGTCTGCAATTGGCTACTGTCTGTCATAAAGAGATCTGATTGGCTGATGCTTCTCAGTTGAGAATGTTGAGAAATCCCAAACATTGATGTGTCGACAGATCCACATTTCAGTTCGGCTTTCCATCACCCATTCAAAGTAACTGGGAAGCATTGACGCTGATGCCCAGTGTGAATCAGGCATAAAAATGATGTAAAATAAATATATCATTCTAATCTATCATATTATTACCTTTTTAATTTTTTAGCTATTTTAGAAAAGGTTTTGTTAGTTCTGATTCGTCACTTTGTTGCAGATTGTTTTTTATTCTTTTAATTTTAAAAGATTCAGTGTTTCTATTGTAGAATATTATGTTTGAGAAATGCTTTATAATGAAAGTATTTTTTATGCATTTATAGATAATTATTGTAATATTAATATTCAAATCATTTTTATGTACACACACACACACACACACACACACACACGCACGCAAGCACACACACAACACTTTTGATAAGAAAAGCAACAAGTGCAATACAACATCTTGAACAAAACTGTTTACATTACACTCCACATACAGCTATGTCTGATTTGGCTCAAAATTTGCATCTACGTTTATCTACAGCTTGGACAGGAACCAAAAAGTAGGTTTACTTGTTCAAGTGTGCATCCTTGACAGTCTTCTGCCACTCCTCTATGGTCTTTTCTCGGCTCTCCAAGGCCTTCTGGAAATCTTCCGGCAGGCTGCAAGGGATCTCGCAGTTATCTCCATCCATTTGGAAGGGAATCACTAGTGGATAAAACTCAGAAGGGGGCTGGATTCGGTAGCAGCCTGTATCTGGAGCTGAACCCTCGACTCCAAACAGCAGAGGCTGGTTCCATAAATTGGGAACCACTGCTAAACCTGCACTCGCCATGTGGTCTTCTAGGGTGGGGTACTGTGTGTGAAAGGGGCCCAAAGTGAGAGACGCATTTCCAGGAAGGAGAAGGGGTCGAGTTGGAGTGAGGGAGTGAATTGTGCAGTTGAAGGAGCCTCCTATGGTCAGACGACCGGCCACACAAACAACACGGACATTCTCACAGCTCTGAATGTGGACGCTGGTCCTTACCGGCCCCAGAACTAGTGTACTGTTTCTGCACTTGTCCAGGGTCACAGACCTGCAGGACACAAAGACTTGGTTAAAATGGACGTTGACACAGCACTTTTTTTCTATTTATTTATATATATAATTGTGCGTTTCTTCTGCTAGGGAGTTTTTCATATATACATTTTAAAATATATAACATGTTACATTTCTTGTATTATTATATTATATTTTCTTTATAATTTCGTTCTGTATTACACTTCAACTTGATAAAAATATTTATTGACAGGAGACTATGCCCGCTTTTTTGGTAAGTTAGTTAAGCTCTAGTTATGCAAGTTGTGATTCATCCAATGCTGTTATAATTAGGAATGGGACAGTATTGTTGCCTAGTTGTATAGCAACAATTGCATTAATTTTCCATTTGTAATGTGCTCCACATTAAAACTCAAATAGTTAAGTATGGCATGGACATTGCCAGGATTGTAGGTTTAATTCTCAGGTAAAGCAAGTACTGATAAAAATGCCTACCTTTAATTAGCTTTGAATAAATGCAATGAACATCAAGCAAAGAAATATGGAGACATGAAATTGTGCTAAATGTGACTAGGATAAGAGTATTTGTTATAGAATTATTCCAACATTCAGGTAGATTCAAAATTGGTTTAGTTTGCTTTATTTTAATAAACTTTATTCATAGTAAATGGGAAAATTAAAATTTTTTATAAATAAAAAGCTACAGACAATAAAGAATCATATACTTAACTATTTGGTTACATAAATCTAAACACCTTTATTGACAAGGCAATGTATTATATTATATTATATTATATTATATTATATCATATATGGTTATATAATGACAAACAGAAAGAATGATATGTCATGATATACATTAAAAGAGTGTATTAATATCCATTTTCAAATCACAGTAACTATCATGATACATATTATTATAATATATTGCAGTTACTTTTACGACAATATACTGCTTAACAAAAGAGGGTATATTACGACATGCCTAAATTATGAATGAAGTGTTTCCTTACCACAGAGGAGAGAGAAGGTAGATGAATGCCTCACTGCAGCGGTGGAGTTTGATGTTGACATCATTCAGCTTTTCAGAGTCCTTGGCCAATGTCTGTTTGCAGACCTGCGACATGACCACCAGTCGACTTCCTGGAGGAGCTGCATGGGTGTTTCGAAATATTTTGGCTTTCTTTAGCGTGCCCTCTACTGTAAAATTAAAGAAAACTAGTGACTCCACCATCATATTTACTATTCATCTGATTAAGCCAAACCAAACAAAAGATCCATAACATATTTCTTTAGCTGTTTCCTTGAGGTTCAGTTAACTTGTATGGTTAATATTCCTATTTTTTCATTTTACATTTTTTCAAGTTCAATTTAATATATACTAATAATATAAATAATAATTAATATAATTCATTCATATAGTGTTTTTCTGGACACTCAAAGCTCTTTACACATTGGGGGGGAATGTCCTCATCCACCACCAGTTTGTAGCATCCACCTGGATGACGCGATGGCAGCCATATTGTGCCAGACCGCACACCACACATCAGCTGATTGATGGGGAGGAGAATTATTGTATGGAGATGGTTAGTAGGCAATGATGGACAGAGGACAGGGTTAAACGCCTACTCTTTTTTAAGAACATCCTGGGATTTTTAACAACCACAGAAAGTTGGAACCTCTGTTTAATGTCTCATCCGAAAGACGGTGCTCACTGAGCAGTATAGAGTCACCGTCACTATACTGGGGCATTAGGACACACACAGACCACAGGGTGGGCACTTCCTGCTGATCTCACTAACACCACTTCTGGCAGCAACCCAGCTTTCCCATGTGGTCTCCAATCCAGGTACTGAGTGCAGCCTTGCTTAGCTTCAGTAGGCGACCATGTGAGAGTTGCAGAGAGCCAGCTGCCGACTGAATAATAATAATAATAATAATAATAATAATAATAATAACAATAACAATAATAATATGTTCAACAATATATTCTGTCATAATTTACTCATTCTCCACTTGTCAAAAACCTGTTTGACTATCTTACCATTGTTGAATATAAAAACATATCATTTTTTTAGGAATGTTAAAAAGCTTTTTCCAAAACACTTTTTTGAAATATGGATTTTATGTTAAAAACTCAAAGGTTTTTAACCAATTTAGGGAGAGTAAATGTCCATTTTTATGAAATGTTTTAAACAAATACATTTTTGCTACTGTTCCTTTAAGATTTCTAAACACATATAGCCTTATTGCATATAAAAAGGTAATATTTACTCCCAAAGATCACTGAATCTGTAGAAGTCTGCAAAAAACTAACAATTACTTTAATTTCTATAAGATCAACTTTCAGTTTACCTTGCAAGGCCCATGACAGTTTCTTGCCCGATTGTGAGCAGTTGGAAATGCCAAAGGGGTTGAGGCAAAGGGCCTGACGCAAAAAGTCCTGGAACTGCTGCAGAGAGTAGGAACAACTGAGTTTCGAGAATCCCGCCTGGGACTGCAGCTGTGAGCGACTGAGGAGCTTGTGGACTGGATGAACTGTACGGCTGTGGCTCACAGATCCTTCCAGAAGAAGACTGAGGCTCTCCACAGCCTCTGAAGTGAGGTGGCTGTCACGCAAAACCTGTCCTGAACTGCTCAGCTGTCCTGGCTCCACCAGCAGTTCCAAGAGCTCAGGCAGGTGTGTTTGAATAAAAGTAAGATGAGCCTGAACATCCCAGTTCTGGTAAAAAAGAAAGGGAAAAAAAATCTTTGTGCACTATATTGATAATTGCTACAGGATAACAGGCACAAATGCAAGTTAGACACACACACACACACACACACACACACACACACACACACACACACACACACACACACACACACACACACACACACACACACACAAAATTATCATAATCATAATCATCATCAACATCATTTATTCATTTTCTTATTGGCTTAGTCCCTTTATTAATCAGGGATCACCACCATGGAATGAACCGCCAACTTATCCAGCTCACAGCGGATGCCCTTCCAGCTGCAAACCATCACTGGGAAAATCATCCTCATTAGTATTATTAATTAAATTTTCTTGACATTTATTTTTACAACAATTAAGCAGATCCCAAGAACTCCTTTTAGTTAATAATTGATTGAAAAAATTAATCATTTATTTGAAATAGTAAACTTTAAATAGAAAGTTTTAATGTCATGTCTTATTAATAAAATGCATACTTTCTAAATAAAGGAAATAAAAATAAACTCCTTTTTTAATACTTTATAAAATATGACTGATACACACACCTTATTTTGGGAACTAATTTTGGCATCTCTCTCAGAAGAAGAAGATGAGGGCGATCGTGATCGGGGACTCGGCCATTCCTCTCCAATCAGTGACGTGCGGAGAGAGATTCGATTCAGTTGTTGTAAATATAGGAACAGTAGAAACTGCAGAGTGTCTACTGACAGCTAAAGCAAGGTGAAAAGAAACAATTAGTGCAGCAGGATAGCAATAACATTGTCTAACAGCACTACACCTCTTTATTCGTACCTTACAACGTTGCCTGTCAAGCTCCTTCTGAGTGTGGCATTGAGACAGAGCTTCTGCCCACTCTAATCTCTGCTCGGCAGAGCGTGGCATCAACAGATCAAAAGTTTCAAAATAGAGCCAAGCCAGATCCTCTGCAAGCTGCAGTTTGCCACAAGCGATGTGTCGCCACATTTGCCAACCAAGCCTGGGGAAGCAGCCATCCCGTGTCCGGACATAACTGGCCATCTTGCGCAGATAATGCATGCTGAATTTGCTTGGAGGTGTGGCGGGAAGCACCCCGACGAGGAAGGGCTCCAGACGTGGCCATACATATGCTGTGTACTTGTCCATTTCTATAGAAGAGATTGAGTTGGATCAGAGAAAGCATCAAATTATCATTAAAGTATGGGTGACAATGTGCTAGAATATGTGTAAAATGGTATATTATGTAAAAATACAATGATAATCGTATTAGTAATAGAGTCAGTAACAAGAGAAAGACGGTCTATAGCTACATCTATAGCAGGCAAAGGCAAGCAATTTTCTAGGTAACCACTTGATGGCCTTCTTGAATTGAAAATAATTTTCAGTGTTTCCATGACGACCACAGCATCCTAATATGAAGATGCTAATCAGACTAACTTACTTTTTATTAATGCCATAAAATACTGTGAGAAACATTCATTGAAAAAAAAAACACATTCTAAACCTGTGGCATTTTACAGTACAAATCGGAATAGTACGCACATTTGTAGACAGAGAGACAACCTTCCTGCAATCTATAACTAATCTGAAAAAGTGTGAAACCCGTCCAAGAAGCCTTTAGATTAAAATATTGGAAAAAAAATTAGGATTTAGGAAAATATGAACATAACGAGCAATTTTAAACGATTTTGCAGAAATACGCGAGAACAGATGGTACTACTAAGAGTATAACAAGTTATTTAAGATTACATTGTACTATATGTGTATTAGATATAACGTTACATACTTTCTACTTACGATGTAAGAAAGATATGAAGCAATAGGGTAACTTTACGACAACTAAGTTATTACACAAATTCAGAATTCACTCCCCTTACCTGACCACTGGAAGTCTTACGGTGTCAAAAGGTGGTCACCTTTGTTTTTTGGGGTAAAAATACATTCGAACATAAATAAAATAAACATTTAGATGGAAATGATTTCGATGCTGTGCACATTGAGTCGCGCGCGACCCGACACAAAACACAGGAACCTCGCGAACGCGCGCTGTTGTACCGCTCAAAACTTCATTATAATCGTTTAATTCACTACAGAATCACTTGAGGTCAAGGTCATCACCAAACTGTCACCTCAGAATAATAAATTACTTCAATACTAATAAACATGTAACTTCTTAAACCTCCAGCTTTACCATCTCTAAGAAAACAAACGATAAAACTGTCCAACTGTTCATGAGTGGTTACCAAGTCTGCGTCACAGCGTGACGTAACGCAAACCGCTCTGTTTGGAGCACTGCATTTCAACATAAAAGTCATATGGTGATTTGCTTATTTGATGTCATTAAAATACACCGCAAAATAACATATTTGCAAGCAAACCACTACCAAATGCAATATTTTTACTGTATATATGACGATTAAATTAGACTGGGTGTTATGTACTAATCTTAGTTTTACCTTTTCTAGATTTCAAAATAAAAGTTAGTGAATATAATCTAATAAAAGCGACCCATAGATATATATGAAAAAGATATAAAAAAAACTGTCTTATTTATGTTTTAATAAATCTAGCTTGATTTCATTTACAATTTTCTTATATATATATATATATATATATATATATATATATATATATATATATACATACATATATACATACATACATACATACATACATACATACATGAACAAACTTTTATTAACGTTTATTAAAACTGCTCAGAAATTATGTATACATGATTTTAAATCCACAATCTCCACAAGCTGACTTCTACAGCTCAACAATGCGCATGCGCGGATGTGCGGAAGTGTTCGCAGCCCGATAACCAGCTGATAGATCAACAACCGAACAGCCATCGCCAAAAGAGCCACGACTGGCAACAACAGGTAAATATCACTTATCCTGGTCATTTTGAATTCCAATATGTATCTACACCAGATGTGATTAATTTGGAAACGGGTGCTCATGGCACCACTTGGGCCGCTTCGCCAGGATCGAGACGAGTCACGTTAATGGTCAGTCTATACTGCGCCTCTAATGCATCACAGCAGACACGCTCACCTGACTGGCAGAGTTCTGCGTTTTATCAAGAAAATCTGCTACTAACTATGAGAGAGTTATCATTCGCATCAGTAGACAAACTCGTGATTATTAGAGTTAATTATCTGATCCACAGACATAGGCTACTCCTTATCGTTAGGATTGTGATCCAGATCAGAAGACATATTCCTAAATATTACAGTTATGAATCACATCAGCAGACATGTTGCTGATTTTTACAGTTATGAATCAGAAGAGTCATTGGAGTTATTATTTATATCAATAGACAACAGACATGCGCTTGATTGTTAATATTATTATCCAGATCAACAGACATGCACCTGAGCATTTTATTTAGATCTATAGACTCCTGATTGAATCAGGTCAATACACAAAACTCCTGATTATTAGTTATTGATTATTATTCAGACCAGTAGTCATACGAATTTAGCATCAAATCAATAGACATACAGTTATTAGGATGAAAAATTAGATCAATAGACATACTACCATTCATAGCATTATTATTTTGACTAATAGACATACTCGGATATTATTAGCTTGGGGTTGGAAGGGTGTTCGCCACATAAAGCATTTGCCAGGGTAATTGCCGGTTCATTCTGCTGTGGCAACTCCTAATAATCAGGGACTAAGCTGAATGTTAGTGAGAGAGTTATTATTAGCATTATTTATTCAGATCAACAGACATATTCCTGACTATTAGCTTTATAATTCAGAAAGATACATACATATAATTATTAGAATTATTGATGGTGTAGTTCACTCAAAAATGAAAACGTACTCACTATTTACTCACCCTCAGGTGGTTCGAAACATTGGGGTAAAGTTGGTTTTATATTCGCATATTCTGACTTTCTTCTTAATAAAATAATTTCAGAAAAGTAATCTTGTAAATTCTAAATAGCGAAATCACATTAGCAGCCAAATGACCATCAAAGTGCAATATTGTTCACAGTCATATAAATAGTGTAATGTTGTTTTGAAGTCATACTTGCATGTTATTTCAAGCCGAATTTTCAAAGTACCATGGTAAACAATAGGGAGAATGTCACAAGTTGTCAAAGAATGAATGTGCGAATTTAAAACCAACTTTACCTCAATATTCAAAACCATTTAGTTTCTTTCTTACATTTACATTTAGTCATTTAGCAGACGCTTTTATCCAAAGCGACTTACAAATGAGGACAAGGAAGCAATTTACACCACTATAAGAGCAACAATGAATAAGTGCTATAGGCAAGTTTCAGGTCTGTAAAGTCTAAGAAGGAAAGTAATAGTAATTTTTTGTTTTTTTGAGTACAGAATTGCAGATTAGGAAGTGAAGTGGAGACTAAATGAGTGGAGACAAAAAGTGGAGACTTCTTCTGTTAAACACTAAGGAAGATGTTTTAAAGAAGGATGAAAACATGTAACCAGTACTCTGTAGTATTTACATACTATATAACACTACATAGTACTGTAGAAAATTCAGAAAGCCAAAATGTATTGTTCAGGTCAGGATTGTAATTTACCATAAAAATAAATCCTGTACCATAATACTCTTTAACGTGCTGTGTGCGTGTTAAGTACTATATAAAATGCTATTTATTATTAGCACATATGTAATTCTAATAATTGGCTCATCATAGATGTTTCATATTAAGCTCAACAAGCTCATCACTGGTGACACTTTATTTAACGCCTTTAGGTTGTAGCACAGCTTGAGGGCAAAGCTGTTGCTTGATGGCAAACTGACCTATGTACTTAAAAAAAGTGTAGCTATAAATATTTGCACTGCAAAGTGATACTGATGGAAAGTCTGAGAGCAGAACAGCAAACGCCGCGAAACCACAAAGAGGTGGCAGTTTCACAAACCTGGTGGTTTACTACCTGCTCAGCATCTAGGGCAGTAAGAGCTTTTGATCCTTGTTTATGCCAACATCCATTGCAAGGGGCTTTGCAAAATGTATAACTGAGGCGGGGGGTTGGGGGGGGGGGGGGGGGGTAATGGATTTTTGAATGCAATGCAAACAGCATACTTTCAGTAATGAGATATTTTCACCAAGATGTGAAGATAAGATGTTTGGCCAGAAGAAAAATGGTTGTGCACAGCTGAGCTTCTTTTTTATTATTTAATTTTTTTTTCACTTCTGTTAATTGGTGAAGTTTGTTTCTCGCAACTTAATTTGAATTATTGGAGCTGCACATCGGTGGAGTTGCTCTTCAGTGTTTCGGCTTTCACCCCTGACATTTACATTACACTGAACAACTTATCTGAAGCAGTTTCCATTTACTAGAACTCTTCTATGTTAAGCTGCTTTGACACAATCTACATTGTAAAAGTGCTATAGAAATAAAGATGAATTGAAAAAGGATGTCATTAATCACTTCTGAAGCTTTCTTAAAGTCTGCGTGAACCGGAACAGACTTTTATTTCAGTATGTTGAATTACTTCTACTGAAACAGAAGATTGAGGAGGAGGCGGGGCTTTCTTTTCATTGCATCGTTCTCTAGTAGCCAACTAACAGTTAGAGGGGTGTGGTTTACAATATTGTGGTTGAAACTAGGGCTGTACGATTCTGGAAAAATCTGGCATTGCGACGTTTTATTTTTGTGGTACGATTATACCGCCAGATTAATTTAATAGCTCTTATGGACAATATTTAATTAATTTACATCGATTGAGCTTATCAAGTATTTTTTCTATGCAGTAAATCTGTGCATAAATCACAATAAAATACAATCAAATATAAATATGACAGAGATTAAAAGAATAAAGTGAAACAAACAGTGCTTTATGGTTTTCTGGAGTCAGTGTTCAATTATGGAAATTAAACAAACAAAAAATAAAATGGTCATTGTATAAATGATTTAAAAACAATAATATATTTATCTTTTAATCCTTAATAAATAATCTAATCTTGCTGTTTGGCTTTTAAAGATACACACATTGCGATATCAATGCTCAAACGATATATTGTGTAGCCCTAGTTGAAACTGACGTCAGCAGAGGAAGACTGCCAAATGGTCAGACTTTGACTGAAGCTTACCAAAAAATTTTCTTATTGCACTTTTTGGGCGTTCTCTGAATATAGCAGGGTTATTGAGCTTTACTGCAAACGCTCTTGCATTTTTGACACTGCTAGCAGGATGGTATATTCTTTTATTATTGAAACAAAGATTTCCCCCAAGTTTTGACAACTAGTTGCAAGATGCAATGAGCTTCATCCATTTGGGAAAAAATCAGGTTCACAATAAATGGCAATACTAGGGCTTTTTCTGAAACATGGGACCCATTCAGAATTTTCTTTTCTGAGCATGTCAGTATCTCTACAAACTGTCAATCTAAATCTTATGGCCTTTCGATTGCAAAGCAAATGTAATTAAGTAGTTTGTATAAATAACTGAGGATAAATGCTTGTAATATTGGGTTATCAAGGTATGTGTGTATTCTGTACAGATAATACAAATAATTTTTTAATTCATTTTTTTTGTTTTTTTATTTTATTTTAATATACATTTTTTATTTATTTTTATTTCTTCTTCTTATTATTATTATTATTATTATTATATTTTTGTCTTTTAGATACATGTAATTTCAACTTGTTTAGAGGGTATAAATGGAAATAATATTAGTTTAAATTTCTTTGTAAAATTCCTTTGTTATATCTGTAAAAGTTTAAGAAACAGAAAAAAAACATTTTTTTTTCTGTGAAATAACTTGCATGGATTGATTGTTCACCAAAAGACTAACAATGTGTGCTATGAATAACAATGTGTGTCACACACCAGACATTTTATTAAAAATGCTGAATGAGAAATATTATTTATGACAGTTGGGCTCTAACTGTCATGAGATTGTTTAGCAATGCACTCTTACTTAATAAATCGTATTCTGTTGCTTTACTCACCAGCTTCCCTATTTTTGGATGAGAACTGATTCTCAATCCCAAAACATCTGTGGTTTCTGATTGCTGACTTGAAAGTTGCTTGTATTGGCAAGAATTTAGCAAGATATAGTTAAGGGCAGTTCTCTAATATCCAGTATAATAACTTTCTTCTGTGTACAACAATATAATAAACATATTTAAAAGTATTAAGAATAAATTTAAATTCTTTAAACTAAAAAACAAAAACATTGTCTTCATGTGCTAGCTCTTAAAATATAAGTCACTTCCTCTTCCACTACCAGTTCCAGGAACATTGTGCTCAAACACTTTCTTTTTTTATGTTTTTTTTTTTTTAGGATTACAGACTAACTGCTGTCCTTGTGGACTAATAAAACGTTTGCAGTACTCCAGAAACGGAGTCCACTGCTTTGAACTGCTGCTTTCAGAGACGCTATCAGGGAGGACGGCCACCCTTCCTACATCATGAGTACCCGTGGGACAGGCAGGGCCAATGGGAACCTACCGCAGACCAAGATCTGCCAGTTTAAACTGGTGCTGCTGGGAGACATGGCCGTCGGCAAGTCCAGCCTGGTGCTGCGCTTTGTGAAGGGACAGTTTGATGAGTTTCAGGAGACCACCATTGGAGGTGAGAAACACTGTAGCTGATGGATTTGATTTGAGTTCATATGGATTGGTATTGAGCTATAGGAAAACATTGATTGGTTTAAACCAGAGGTGCCCTAACTTTTTTTATGAAGGGCCAAAAACCAAACTTGACTAAGGCTAGTGGACTGAAGGTAAATATAGTTGCCATGGGTCATTACCTAATTTATTTAAAGAACTCCTATAATACATTAAAAAGGGTCATATGTTGGTTTTGGGGGTATCCAACAGCAGGCTGATATGCATTCAAGGTAAATAAAACACTTTCATTGTCTTATAATATGCATTTATTTTTACATAATCATCCCAGCGATTCCCATATGATTTGTTCGGCGATTCATTTGTTCCCAGATCCGTCCAGATACTAATCTGCGCTGATTGACAGTCTGTAGTGATTTGTTGATAGCGTTCAGCACGAGACAGAGTGAAATGCCCACCACGGCTTATTAACAATATTGAAGTAGTCAGAGTGCACAGTGTGTGTGTGTGTGAGCATACCTGCCAACACTCATGTTTTTTCCGGGAGTGTTCCGTATTTCAGACCCATCTCCCTCCCGTTTTGTTATTTATCCTGGAAAACTCCCATAATTTCAGCCACTACCCTCCAGCCGCTTAACACGCTTAACAGTTGTTACACCACAGAACACATTACCCGGTTCTCAACAGTGAGAATGCTCACTTCTCCTCTCAGATGGGATGGTGGGCCAAATCAAAGGTTACAATGGGCCAACTTTGACCCATGGGTCCTACTTTGGGCATCTCTGGTTTAAACAGTTTGTTGCATTAACATTCCCACATACAACTTTCAAACGTTTGGGGTTAATACGTTTCTAGACAGATTGATTGGCGTGATTCATGCTTCAAAACACCCGTTAGGGGAACATGAGTTTTTTTTACTGTGCGTTGTGGGAATTTTCAAGGAGTCAGTGTTTCAGTGCTCTAGAAGAATTTGCGATCGAGTGTGCCTTGATAATAGCTGATCACTAGTCTACTGAACTAGAGAGCTGATTGAGACGCCGCCACGCATACCTTATCATCATCATCGACCCTGCTTGTTTGCAGCCTGATTTTCACTAATTAATCTTAATTTGACTTTCAACCAAACTAACCTTGTGATTAGTCATAGTAGAAGATATCATCTGATAAAAGATATCATGTGTATGACGACAAACCTGATTCATTATCTCTAGTATAATCTTCATAGTAGAATGTATGTATATTATTGCTTACAGACTTTGGCTCCCATAAAGTCAGAGACAGACAGGCATCATATAAATGCCCATAATGCAACTCTAATATTAGATTGGCGTTCTCGTTAAAATGATAAAACACTTTAAGGTCATGCATCACAATGGTTTTACCATGGTAAAGGTTGTTTAAGGCATGTAGTGAAGTCACTTTAAAGTGTGGTATTAAATGGTTTATGGCTAGAACCATGTTCTAGCAATGGTGCTGGAGTATGATAAAAGACACCAATTTTTAAGGATTATTTATAATAAATAACATGTATTAGTAATCGTCATCATTCATAATTATAATTTACTGGGTATCTCAATGTTTTGTTAAGAAAGCTAAAGCTAAGGTTGAGTATTCTCTTCTCTTTAGGTATTACTTCTCTTCTATTTAGTATTTCTGTTCGCCATTTATATTCTGTACTATTTTAGTATTATTTATAATTTACTGTTATTTCTATACTATATCAGTATTCATTAATATTCATTTACATTTTTATATACTCAGTTTTTTATATATTCAATTTCCTTTTAATGTCTGTTAGTTTTTGTCTTATTATTATTCATTATTTACTTTCAGTCCTGTGTTTTTAGGTCAGTTAGTAGCCAAGGGAATATTTTTAATTCCCCTAATGTCAACTTCATGTCAATTAAACATTAATAATAATGTATATTTTTAGTTCTTTGTTTCATGAATCAGATTATTATTTTCAGAGCTTGCAAAATCTGGTAGCCTGAAGTCCCGGGGCTATTGTTTTTTTCAGTCAGGTTACACCGTGCCCAGTGGGGTATCTAGAATAGCCCGCCAGGCACATTGTTGAAAAATTTTGGTAACCCAACAACAATAACAAAAAAACAATAGCCCTAGATTTTGCGAGTCCTGTTAATAATAAAATAATAATAATATAATCTGATTTGTAAAACTAAGAGCTAAAAGCCTAAAAATCAATCTCACTGGTATTATACATGCTTGAATACCTTAATTACTTTTGTTGTTGTTTGTTTGTCCACCTTTAGCTGCATTCTTGGCCCAGTCTGTTTGTCTGGACGACACTACAGTGAAGTTTGAGATTTGGGACACAGCCGGACAAGAGCGCTACCACAGCTTGGCTCCCATGTACTACCGTGGAGCCCAGGCAGCCATTGTAGTGTTTGATATCACTAAACCTGTAAGTTTAGAACAGTACATTCTTTTCAAAGATAATACAAACTTTCATTTGATTGCTTGTTCCCATGTTCCCTGTTTGTAGGAAACATTTGAGCGAGCAAAAGCATGGGTGAAAGAGCTGCAGCGGCAGGCCAGTCCCAACATAGTCATTGCTCTTGCAGGAAACAAAGCCGATCTAGCAGACAAGAGACTTGTGGAGTATGAGGTCATATCTTTGTCTCTTTTATTATTTTTAAGACATTTGTACAGTTGTTTGTATTAGTTATGTTGCAAAACGTGAAAAAATACAGTCTGGGTTAGATTATCATTCATTCATTCATTTTCTTTTATGGCTTAGTCCCTTTATTAATCCGGGGTCGCCATAGCGGAATGAATTTATCCAGTATATGTATTTGAGTATATGTTACTCAAATATTTTGAAATGCATTTTTTTTCCAGAGAACTTAGTTGAGTTTTCAGGAATTACTCCAGTCTACAGTGATTAATCTAACAGTATTGTAATATGCTGATTTGATGCACAAGAAACATTATTTAAAACATTAAACCCATAATTATGTAAAACAAATCTTACTGATCTCATATGTGTGAATGGCAATACATATTTTAATCACCCAACTAATTATTAAAACAGTTGCTTATGTCTTTTGTGCAGTACGTAACCCAGACTATAATTTATATTTCCATACAGGAAGCCCAGACATATGCAGAAGACACAGGTTTACTGTTCATGGAAACCTCTGCCAAGACTGCAATGAATGTAAACGAGTTGTTCCTGGCCATTGGTAAGTGTTAAAGGGTCACGAAACACCAAAACACATTTTTTGAGCTGTTGACAGTCGTATATGTGTCCCACACTGCTAAAAACACTATTAAGACACCTATATTTCACTAAAAAGTATTAATTGGTTGTTTTTGCGTTATTTCAAGCAAATTCGTACTTCCTGTTTGAAACGAATTTTTGAAGCTGCGTCACGGTCATGACATAATAGCGTTGTATTCCAGCGTGCAGACTGGGCGTCAGTGCCAGAGTGAGTCTTATTACGTCTTACAGTGTGCTGCATTAATGCATGAGTAAGGCTTGGTTCAAACCAATCAGCGCGCTCTATTGTGCAACTTCATTAATATTCATTACTTCATTACTGTGTTTACACGACATAGACGCCACGTTGTGTTGGCAAAACAAGCGTGAAGTGTTGCTTTTATAGTTTGCTGCCGTTAAGTTTCGTTTTCTTTTTCTCTCTGTGAGAGCTCAGTCTCACGTGTGGATTAACAGTGTACGCGACGCTCGACAACAATAACTTACGTGTCTAAGGAGGAACATTGTTTACCTGAGAGCTGTTCTTATCTGCAAACGCTGAGATCCGGATTCGCTTGTAGTATTCTCTCCATAAAGACACGGCTCTAGTTGCTGTGGATTGTCCTGTCTCTACAGATTTGGTAAGTGAGCGACTAGTGCTCTTTGTTTATTCAGTTTGTTCGTATCGAACTAAGTTAACTATTGCACCGTAACATGTTAGGACCACAACCAAACTTTAACCTCGTGTAGGGTTTTTGTGACCGCATTTTGTGACCGGAATAACACACGCGGCTTTCTGACGCTACCTGCCGTGTGCATCTAAGTTTCCGGAAAATGCTGAGGTTTTTTTCTCTCATTCGTCGTGCGGTATCAAACATTGCATGAAAAATACACGCTTAGAGCAGATCCTCGAATCAAATATCTCGTTTGTCGTGAGGGGCATGAATGAATTCCCTGAATGAAAGAGCCAAACTGCAGTTAAAGTCCACCATTTAATAATTTGGCAAATAATTCCACTACAGATGTCCATGTAAGTTAAACACCATCACTTTCTCCTGTGTGTGAGTATTTTGACTGAAACTCGTGCGTGCCCAAATAGACACTCCCACACCCTCCCACTTTAGTTCCTCCGACACTCCCTCCTAAACAGAGCTGGACACGCCCACTTTTCTGACTTTTTCCAAAGTAGAGGTGTGAAAACACCCTGCTGAAACGAGGGGGTTTCATGGCCCTTTAAGGCTGTCTTCTTATAGTATGTTCTCTTCTACATGCTGTTATTGTTAGAGCACTGAACTGTGGTAAACGTGAAAGTACAACTGTTTAAAAAAAGGAATTGAAATGTCAGCCTTTGAAAAGGATTAATTTTATTGTATTTCTTAATACTATGCATTGAATACAATCTTTAGACTTAAATTAGGGGATTTTATTAATACTATTTATAGTGTATATTTTTTCACAGACAAAGCATACCATCCTAGTTACAGATATTCCAATTTACTAGTCTTGAAAGGGATAACATTACACTTTTTACACTTTCAATGTCCTATGATGCCTAATTGGAGCATGAAAATCTAGGCAGGGAGGGGTTTTGCGCTCATGCACGTGCGCTCAGTTTCACGTTAAGTCGGATGTACAAAGAGAATATGCCTGGGATTCCGCATACGCAGTGCTTCATACTTCTGAATTTTTTACTGTGTACGCACATTTACGTTTTGTGCGTACAAAATGTTTTAGTATGAATTCAACGCATGTCTTAAGGGCCCTGATCATTAACGCACAGTAAATTGATCACGTCAGAATACAAGTATTTATAATTTAGATGTTAAATTATTGTGTTTGAGACAAATGCTTATCATTGAGAACATTATTTGACCATTTATTCACTGGTAAAATGAGACATTTGTCATTTTTAGATTCCCTCCTGCATTATATTATTACATTAGGGCTAGAGTAGTTATACCGAGACTGTTAAACATTTATTCCCATGCACAACACTGTGTTCGCTATGAAAGAAAAAAAATGCTTGTCTTAATCATAACTGTAAAAAGTGATCATTTAAATGATGTGCGCATCAGTTAATTTTTATTTCCGAGTGCAGCTCAAGACCTCCGTCACTCTGAGAAAAAAAACACACCCACATGCAAATCATACTCCACGAGTCCACGCACAACTCTCGAACGATCGCTCTGTGCTACAAACTGAACGATATTTTAACTTTATTACCTGTTATTCACAACCTATGCTGGTTCTGTTCACTGAAGTAGGCATCAGGCGGCCACGCGCGCGTCCTCTCGGTAGTAAACAAACAGTGTGTCAGCCCATGTGAGATTTTGCAGCCGCAAATACATCTTTACATAAAGACCGAAATGAATTACACCTTATAAAATAGTATCTGACACTTATAACACCATTTGGTGTTGTCCATGTTGCCGTGAAGACTTGTGCATTCGCCTTTGCACTTCTATTCTGACATTGAAAATATAATTGGCTGAATCGTAGAAAAGCTAAATCAGCTAAAAAGATCGCGTTTAGGGTAGAACTGAGATCGGGATCTTTTTTGATTATTCGTGCAGCCCTAGTGTTTATACTTTTAAAACACTGTTGTAATACACTGAGCCACTAAACATTGTTCTTATGGCAATTTTCTACAGGGGGAAAACACAAATTGTTTCCAAACACTTAAAGGGCCATGAAACCCCCTTGTTTCAGCAGGGTGTTTCCACACCTCTACTTTGGAAAAAGTCAGAAAAGTGGGCGTGTCAAGCTCTGTTTAGGGGGGAGTGTCGGAGGAACTAAAGTGAGATGGTGTGGGAGTGTCTATTTGGGCACGCATGAGTTTCAGAGTCAAAACACACACACACACACACACACACACACACACAAACACACACACAGGAGAAAGTGATGGTGTTTACATGGACATCTGTAGTCGAATTATTTGCCAAATTATTAAATGGTGGACTTTAACTGCAGTTTGGCTCTTTCAATTAGGGAATTCATTCATGCCCCTCGCGACAAACGAGATATTTGATTGAATAGCTTGAAAGCAAATTTCCAGTCCATTTTAGATAAAATAAACTGAATTATTAAAGACAGCCAGAGAGATGACTTTTATTTTCATGGCATAAATGAATGTAACTCAGCCTCTTGACTTTTCAACTCTTGTTTATTTCTAAATAGCAAAAAAGATGCCAAAAACAGACACCCAAAACCCTACGCATGCTGCGCGACACAGGGGCGTGAACCTGCAGGACCCAGACGCACAGTCCACTCGAAGCTGCTGTGGGAACTAAAGGCCTGTCAACACTCCATCATGGGAGACCACGACACCTTCTCCTCCCTAAAATCCCACCCTTCACCCTTTCACCTCCCAAGACGGATACGGAAAGAGAAAGAAAGAGAAAGGAATACCAGGAAGAGCTTGAGGAAAACGCCTCACTCGTGCCACAAAGAGATTTTTCAAGGAAGACTTCTGGTGGACGGGGCTGAAAGCGAACGGACGATGGACTCTGTCATGTCTGGCAGTAAATATGGATTCTGTATTACTTTCAAGTCAACAAGAATTTCCACCTCAGTTCATCCTCATTATGCAAGCACCATGTAGAGATAAAGGATTGGAAAAGAGATAAAGGAACACAGAATGGACTGAAGAGTTATTATTAACCAACAAACCTTCCCATTCTCAGCCCCTGGAAGGGTCCGTAATGCCCCTTTTAACATTCAGAAGTCTTCAAGCGAAATCTACACTGAGTATCCATATGGTCTGGGCTCTCCCATTTAATCTCAACTCTAACACTGGAAGAAAGTCAGCACCTTAAACTTAAACTAACCCTTCAGTTATTCATCTATGAGCCACATCTACTAAATTTCTAACACAAAGGAACACCGAAGCAGAACTTCATATGTTTTATTTCAGCTTTATTTATTACCTTTGTTTGAACTGGTCTCCCTTTGCGCAGCTCGTCATTCATCTATGACCCAAAAAGTATTGAAGAAAGTCAATGTTGTCTTCCCTATCCCATTTACTTCTCCCCACAGCATTGACCTCAAAGTTCAGTGTTGATGTTCACAAAACAACAGCGAGCTCTACGATGCCTTCTTAATCTTCTTTTAGCTTTGTGTAAACTACTGTTTGAGAGTCAACAAATTATTACATATATTTGCACCAATCAGACGGATCCAAAATCATTTTGCTTCATGATTAATTGCAAAATATCATTACACATTTAGTTGTCTGGATGCGGAAGTCAAACAACACCAGTCTCAATATGTGTTATTAAAAAGCAACAAAAAATATTCAAGCACCCACTAATCAACAAAGTGAATGATTGAGCACTGGGATGGCAAATATTGTGGAGATGCAGATTTTTGCCCACAAAGCCCCTGAAAAAGTGGAAAAAAACAGAAGTGCCTACTCCGTTTTTTCCGTGTTCTTTGTTTTGGGCTTGATTGAGGTCGGCTGACCATCTTAAAAGTAGCGGTTTTGAGACGATCCCGGAGTATACGGGCAATAAGCTGTGAGAATAACTTGCGGAGCGTGCTAGTAAACAGAGGAGTCGTTTCAGTTTTGTTTTATGAATGCTGTTTGTTGATGTGTTTTAAAAATCATTTTATTTCAGATTGATTTTAGTCAGTAATTTAATGGGTTACCAATACATTTATATGGTCATTTAGGGAAAGAATTAGGTATCATGATAAGGTGTCACACAGCTAGAAGTCATTTGTCATGTGTCTTCAGGTCCACCTTTTTTGTGGAATAAGATCTGATCTCGTTAACACCTCTGTCAATTTTAAATAAAGCTGTGCTGTTCTGCTATGAATGAAACGTGGCTTTGGTTTCTGTGACTTTTTCAATAGCCTAGATCTAAACCTCAGACTACTGTCATTTATGAGACAACAGCATTGTTCACCTCCACCCGCGTGAAGTAATATTTACCTCTGAAAACACAAGCCATAACCACACCAAACTAATTGCAATTTGCAAACAGCAATTTACAGGGTTTACTTTACATTGGGGTTTATTTGTAAAACACTTTCAGACATTTAAACAAAAATAAATGTCAATTAATATTTAGCAATCTTTAATTAATAATAAGCAATCTCTGTGATTGTAAGAGATTTGTACAGCACAGAATTTTTTTAATGACAAATAATTAAAGAAGTACGGATGTAGTGTTGTTTGAAAGAGGACATCTAATATATAATAAAAATGATGTATTAATTATTTTATTTATACATTGAACATCATATGAGGTATTAAAGTGCCCCCTAGTGCCGATTTCTTCCAAATTTAACAACAATTAATATTTTAACTACTGTGATGGTTAGGATTGGGGTGGGGGTAGGCATTACAAAATGCAATTTATTGGGTAATTTAATAGATAGCATAAATTATACTCGGTACAACTACAGTGCTGTGACGGTTGGGTTTAGGGTTGGGGTTGGTGTAAATGTTAATAAAATACAATAAATGGGAAATTTAATAAATAATACAAATAATTCTTGTTAACTTTCAGCCATATCCAATCTAGCAACAACAACCCTTTGGGGCATGAGGTGTCCAAACAAACCCAGTCCAAGAGGACCACCTATGTAAGCCTACACCTGTCTAGAGTGGACACCTTAAACCCTAATAACGCTCTGGTAAGCCTAATAACGCTTTAATTAGTCGGTTTAAGTGTGTTAATGTAGGATAGGAGCTAAAATTCCATCTTTTGGATGAGACGTTAAACCGAGGTCTCGACTCTCTGTGGTCGTTAAAAATTCCTGGATGTCCTTCGAAAAGAGTAGGGGTTCAAGCCCGGCATCCTGGCCAAATCTGCCCACTGGCCTCTGTCAATCATGGCCTTCTAACCATCTCCATATTCAATTGGCTTCATCACTGTCTCCTCTCCACCAATCAGCTGGTGTGCGGTCTGGTGCAAAATGGCTGCCGTCGCGTCATCCAGGTGGATGCTGCACACTGGTGGTGGATGAGGACATCCCCCCCATTGTGTAAAGCGCTTTGAGTGGCCAGAATAGCGCTATATAAATGTAAGGAATTATTATTATTATTATTAAAATAAGCCGGACCGAGAAAATCTTTTAGGTAATTTATTCTTCTAAGTTATTAACATGGTCCCACTGGTGCATTTGTTCCTTACACATACAAAACCTTTTTGAAGTTCTCCCATGCAGGCAATTGTGCTAAGACTGTGATCTATTCCCTGCAACATCAGGCCACAATCAGGTGTCCACAATCAGGTGGTTTGTCTTGGTCTGGCATCTCAGCTGAGACCTGTCCACTATGGGTGACCCTGCCAGTACTTGTGAAGTACCAGTGGTGAAGCTCTCAGCATCACTGATGCACAGAAGCCCTCACAGCACGTCAAGCTGCAAACCATGTGAGGGACCCTAACCTAACCTACCCTATACTAACCTATCACTGACCGACCAACACTCAGAGGAGTCCAGCAACTGACCAGCAACACTAAGAGACCGCTCAGAAAACCCTGCAAAGCGCATGTCAAAAACACAGAAAACTTTCCAAAACAACCTGACAACCAGAACCCAAGAGCCACATCAGCAACCATCAAAACATTCAGCAGAGTGATAAAAACTTTGAATGAAAAGAAAACTTAATGTAAAGACTTACTCTATAACTATATACAGTATGTACATACGTGCCCTTGATCTTTCATGGGACACTATGATGGCTCAGTGTCTGGGCTTCTTTCTTCGGGGTTCCTCCTCGGGTAGTGGCTCTCCACTGATGTCCACGTGGATTTGAGGAGCGCTGCTGCTTCCGCTGGACCTGCTCTCCGTGATCAAGACTCGTCCATCAGGCAGCTCGGTCTCCAGCAGCGTAGGCCGGTGGAGCTTCTCCCACAGCCGTTGCTTGATCCCCAGGCCTCGCTTGAAGCGGTAGCGGCTGCAGCCGGTCTCCACGACGGAGCGAAAGATGTGCTGATAGTCCTGCACGCTTCTGCCGTGGATGGAGAGCTGCTGCTCCTGCTGACACTCGTTCACTGAGGAAGACACTGATGCTGCTGCTGCTGCTGCTGCTGCTGCTGCGGGACGGAGGACAGGGAGGGCCGCCGCGTTCATCAGGTGTCGCTTCTTCAGCGCTGGGTCAGAGATGCAGCTGTAGGTGTGATCTGACCTGACCGCCGCTGCGAGCTGCTCAACGGTAGAGACGCCCTGTAGCCAGAAGTGACTCGTGTGTGCGGGGAGAGCCCTGGTTCTTCTTGAGCGACGCTGCTCCATCAAGATGACCCAAGAACAACTTTCCAAAGTCGAGAAACTGATCAAACTTTTCAAAAGTTGTCGAGAGTTTGTTGCGAGACGATCGGGTCAGAACCAGCTGTGTATATTAAAGATCAACTCAAGTTGCTGTAGTGACAGAATGACGAGCCTCATTTAAATGTAAACAATATTTAATATCAGCAGTGAATTAATTAAATCAGCACGAACTCTGTGCTTTTATAATTGAGTTTTTATTAAATGCAGTAGCTAAATATCTAAATTATGATTATTCAATAAAATGCTGGTCTTATATTAATAAAAAATAAAAAATAAGCATAAATGGGCGTTTTTTATAGGACGAATGTTGACCACTGAAAATCGTCACAGGTTTCAGAAATCTGGTCATGTTAGTGAATATTACCATTGATTTTTGTTTGCTTTTGGGATGGTTTGCGTTTCATAAAAAAAAAAAAAAAACACTGAACTAATATTCTCGTTTCTATATTTACTTCATAATTAACTAGGCCTATATCAGACCAACCGGGACTTTAGCAATGACATTGTTCTTTTGATGCTTTGTATACTTAAATTTTCATAATTTTCCTGCACTGACTGGGTGATTTAATATTTTTATAGTATTATTAAAATTATTAATCATAATAATGCTATAAGCAATACAATAAACCAAAATACATTCCAAAAAAATCAAAATCAAAAATATAAACCAGTATCAGATACAACGACAACCAGCATTAATAAGATTAAAAAAGCTAACTATACTACAGTTTATTTTGATTAGCTATTAGCTTATTAGGTCAGGGAAGTGCTAATCATTCATTCTGAGTGAAGGTTTTTATTTATTATTATTAAAATAGCTTTAAGAAACTTAAAACAACCATGCCAAATAAAAAATATGTAAATATGCGTGCCCTAAAACATATTGGTTTATTTGACTATGGCAATTTTATTTATTTACATTTTATTTAATGGTTTACTTTTAGGCTATCACAAAATATTAACCACTTTCATTGACCAATGTGCTCTCCAACAAATAAACAGAAAGGGAAACAGAAACTAAATAGTAAAAATGTATTTGAAAACATAAAAGTCTTTAATCTAGACCAAAAGATATTGTTGTACAGAGCTCGTCTTATTGACTGTGGTAAGGCTCATTTATACACATATATACTGTGTATAGAGGAAAATAGGATGCAATATTTCAAGTTTATTTAAAAAGCTGTGCATATCTTCAACATTAAATGAATATGAAATAAACTTTTTATAATAAAAACTGACTCCAGGATCATATCAATGTTTGAACTGTAGTTTACAGATTTGTATTTAAAATTGAATGGCAAAGCCACAAAACGAATAAAATAAACAAAAAATAGTGTGATGTGACAAATCTGATTAACAAACTAGAAATATATCATTAAAATAACAGAGAGGGAAAATTACAAACACAGGAAAAAAATTTATGTTTTTTACTTCCCAGTCCCAGACGTTCCTGAAATGTCATAATCACATGTCCAAGTGTTTCTTTACAACAGTATGAAAATCGCCCCTGGTGGTGATGTGATCAGGACTGTAGCTGGAGAGGCAGGAAGTGTTGCTGGGAAAGAGGCTGATTGGTTTGAGCTCTCTGTGCTTTCCTCTCCTGAAAGAAGCAGAAATTAATTCAATATACAAATTAGTTTATGTGCAAAATACTGACTATTGGGACCACAGAATTCAAATGAAGATTGCACAAATCTGACTGTGATGAAACAATTAAGCCAATTTCTCAACATGGTAAATGTTCTTAATTTTATAATTAAAGAAGTTTTGCACACTTGGTCAAACGTTTATGAGTAAAAGTTGATTGATTCATATATTTTTCCTAAATATGTGAAATCTTATTTAAAAAATGTGCTAAAGTTACAGAAAATATATTTAAATTAGCAGATCTTTAATATTATATATATATATATATATATATATATATATATATATATATATATATATATATATATATATATATATATATATATATGTGTGTGTGTGTGTGTGTGTGTGTGTGTGTGTGTGGTGTGTATATATATATATATATATAAAAAATCTGTTTGACATTAATCCTGATTTTTTTTTATTAAAAAAATTGTTTCAAAGTTTACATTAAAATATTAAGCAGCACAACTTAGTAATACCTGCTGAAATGTCAGTTTGCATTGCAGAAAGAAAAACAAGTTTTAAATTACCACAGTAATCAGTTACCTCAAATTGTGAAAATATTTTTCAAACAATAGACTTTTACTGTATTCTGATCAAATCAGTGGCTTGTTTGGCAGAAGATGCTTCTTTCAAAAACTTCATTTCTTCTTTGTCTTAAATAATTGTTTTGAAATATCCAATTGATTATTTAAACACAAGTAATTATGAAGAATAAGATCTTTGATGGACACAGCAGCTACACTTCAACTAATCCAAGAATATTTAAATGGATTCTGGGAAAATAAAATATTGGTTTGGGAAAATGCTGATTACTGCTGTATAATATGAATGAAGGCATTACAAGTCATCAGAAAATGATGTGCATGAAAATGTGATCATTGTGATGTGTTTTGTATCTGCTGTGTAGTCTGTTCTCTATGGCGTCCGGAATGGGTCAATAACATGACGCTGCAACGTGCACTCGTCTCACCGAACGTCTCACTGAACACTTTTTAAAGGCACCTTTAAGTTCATTTTTGCACAAAAGCTCGTCTGTGCGTTCAAAATGGTTTGAAATTTCCTTAGCACATGGTTTTCTTGATGCATTTGAAATTTTCAATGTAAATCCACTCGTACTTGCATTTGATCTTTATTATGCCTTAAAATCAAAACTATGCTAAAGATGTCTTATCCAAATTCAAATTTTTATTCAAAACGTTATGACAGAACCATATTACTTTACAGTAGCCCATGGATATATATACATATATAAAGCATAAATACTATGTAGGCTTACTAAAGGGTTGCATGAGAAATGTCATCATTGTGAGAGCTTGACTTTTTTTTTGTCGCTGCCTTTAGTTGTGGTGAAATGAGATGCATCATGTCGTTTATCTGTTTGTGCAGTCAGTACCTTTTATTTCTGAATCGTCTGGCATCGTACTTGAAGCCAAGTCATTTAGCCGAATGCATAGTTGTCCTAGAACGAGTAGTTTGCTGATCAAATTCCACATTTTGATGAGGCAAAACAAATCTTGGATGTTTTAATTACTATTTTAGGTGAAAAACAAAATAATGAGATTTGTGTAAAATCTAAAGTTAACCAAGTCCAGCCCGCCATCTTGTCCTGCCTCTCAGTTCTCTTAAGCCTTGGGCCGGCTCTGTGAAGTGGCCTCTTTTGGGCTCATCATTGAAGACCGGACGAGCTGCAACATTTCGTTCTCCCAGGTTCTGGGAGTAGATGAGCATGTCATCGGTCTAGACTTTGGTCAACTTGTGAAGTTACTCATACACCTCAGCTTATGGCATATTACCATTCAAATGAAACATTTCCAGCAGAATATGACGCTCTAAAAAAACTCCATCAGCACTGGTAACTATGAAAAACACGACTGAACACTAATGGTATACTCAACACTTTACACTGACATTTGAAGGATCACCTGACGTTAAAGACTGAAGTAAGAACGCTGGAGGAACATCAAATTTTAACACGGAAGAGTTTTTTTTTCTCCCAAATTAAAGCAATATTTCTTAATCTTGTGTTAATGAATTAATTAGTGTGTGTTGCACTGCTGGAGTGAAGGTTAACCAGTCCACACAGTTCATGCAGCTATAATCTTTATTATCTTTTACTAAGAAACTATGTACAATATTTACACGTTGGCTCCAGGTCTCTCGGATGAAGATCTCTCAGCGACGTGGTCTCTTCTGGTCGCCGCGCGTCTCTGGTGGAGATGGGGAGCGGGACCGTTTCCCTCCGGCGTCCCGGACCGAAGATGCCGCACCTGCTGAGGACGAGGAGGGCAAAGGCTCGGTCTGGTAGGAGAAGGACGGCCTCTTTCTCTTCTCAGCAGCATAGGCCTCACTGAACAGATCGAGCGCAAACACACACAAGCAGACATCATGTGAGATTTGGACAAACACTAGAACATGCGGCTATGCCAAGTACAGTTTACTCACGCGTCTATGATGGGAATGACGTATCTGCCGCTGCCATCTATCATGACTCCCTTTCGGTCTGGGTCATCCACCTCCAACAGGAAGCTGCGGGGAATCCCTGTGCTCCTCCGGATGCGCTTGTGCGGAGCAGAGCCGCTGCCCTGTGAATTGAGGAGTGACAGTCAAACTCTGAGCAAACAATCTGACTGATGAGGACAAGAGCTCAGTTCACAGCAACCGTGAGCTTGGAAAACCCAGTTACCACATTAGTGGGGCAGTGCCTAATGTGGTGTCCCGGGATCCCAAGTAGCTTCATGGCCTCACTAGTGAATATCAGAACCATGAGAATCAGTTCAGACATTTCTCACAAAGCAAACCTGTCAGTGTCTGAACGCTCACCTGCTGGAGTAGTAGCACAGGCTGGACTGGTACATCACCGCTTTCAGCTTGTCCTCCTCTGACGCCTTTGCCTCAGCCAGATTCTCAGTCTGTTTCACAGGCATTTGCACATTTAAATCTTTTTCACCCTCAACCCTTCAAACACCCTCAAATCTCCCTAAGAAGCTGAGTGTGTGTATGTGTGTGTGTGTGTGTATGTGTGTGTGTGTGTGTGTGTGTGTGTGTGTGTGTGTATGTGTATTGTGTGCTTCACATTGCGTTTTGCTATTCTGCTATTCATTTGTTCAATACCTTCAACAACTGCTCCAGTGAGAGGAGTGAAGGATCACCTCTTGGTGAAGGTTTACCCCATCGTCCAGCTTGATGTCTGCAAAACAAAGGAGCATGTGTAACTAAAACACCAGGGACAGACCAGGAGTCTTCATATAACATCTAACAGAGGACGCTTGTGCTCATTTCACAGCACTTACCCAACAAATCTTCTGTTTGAGGACTTCAGTCCCGCCGCAGGGATCCGTCTGATGATGACCGACGTGTTTTTCGGGATGAGAGCATCATCTGTGTATTCTGACAGCAAAATAAAATCAGAATCAGCAAATGATTATTGAGCACGGTATACTTTGAGAGCCATTAGCCTTTTAAAACAGTCAAAACATCACTACGTGTCAGCATCAGCACCACCTTACAGCTTCCAGAAGTGTCTGATATAACGCATCTAATGTTAGTGTAGAACAGTTGAAGTGTCTTTTCCTCAACTCACCTTCATCAGTTTGGGCGTTGCTGATCTTCAGCTGGCAGAACTTCAGCCTCTTGCTCCTCATGATCTGCCGCTTCAGCTCTCCAGCGGTGATGTTGAGGCCTTCAAACCTGAGCGAGTCGTAGGCGAGTCGACTCTGGAACCTGTAGTGAACACAAGACATACTGAACACAAACACAAAGCACAGCGTAATAAAAAGGGTCAAACCTGAATGATGGGAACAGCAGGCGATCAATCGACGTATCCAACGATCAATAATGTCGATAATCCGGAAAAATTGTCACGAAGGACGCAGAGATCAGATGCCAATCGACACAGCGAGATTCAAACAACACCCACAGAAACGTTGTCATGGATGCTGATGATGAACACGTGACGCATGCGCTGAAGAACTTCCGGCAATATTATTATTATTATAATTATTAATAATTTTATTGATGGTAGTAGTAGTAAAATCATTGTGATAATTATAATAAAATAAACAGCAGAACAGCTGGCCATCTCTGAATAATACACAGCGACCTTTCCCTACACGAACGATTCAGGCCTTCGCAAAGAAGACTCGGGTGAGTCGATGATTCAGTGATTGATTCAACTGTCCGTTCATCCTATTCGCTTCTTTGGCTGAATGAATCGCTCAATGCTTTACTCAAATAGAGCGGCCTCTTGCTGCCACCTATTGGGGGTTTGCTTTTTTGTTTTTATTAGTACTGACACTTTTTAAAGGCACCTTTAAGTTCTTTTTTGCACAAAAGCTCGTCTCTGTGCGTTCAAAATGGTTTGAAATTTCCTTAGCACATGGTTTTCTTGATGCATATGAAATTTTCAATGTAAATCCACTCGTACTTGCATTTGATCTTTATTATGCCTTAAAATCAAAACTATGCTAAAGATGTCTTATCCAAATCCAAATTTTTATTCAAAACGTTATGACAGAACCATATTACTTTACAGTAGACCATGGATATGTATATATATATATATATATATATATATATATATATATATATATATATATATATATATATATATATATATATATATATATATATATATAAAGCATAAATACTATGTAGGCTTACTAAAGGGTTGCATGAGAAATGTCATCATCGTGAGAGCTTGACTTTTTTTTTGTCGCTGCCTTTAGTTGTGGTGAAATGAGATGCATCATGTCGTTTATCTGTTTGTGCAGTCAGTACCTTTTATTTCTGAATCGTCTGGCATCGTACTTGAAACCAAGTCATTTAGCCGAAGGCATAGTTGTCCTAGAACGAGTAGTTTGCTGATCAAATTCCACATTTTGATGAGGCAAAACACATCTTGGATGTTTTAATTACTATTTTAGGTGAAAAACAAAATAATGAGATTTGTGTAAAATCTAAAGTTAACCAAGTCCAGCCCGCCATCTTGTCCTGCCTCTCAGTTCTCTTAAGCCTTGGGCCGGCTCTGTGAAGTGGCCTCTTTTGGGCTCATCATTGAAGACCGGACGAGCTGCAACATTTCGTTCTCCCAGGTTCTGGGAGTAGATGAGCATGTCATCGGTCTAGACTATGGTCAACTTGTGAAGTTACTCATACACCTCAGCTTATGGCATATTACCATTCAAATGAAACGTTTCCAGCAGAATATGACGCTCTAAAAAAACTCCATCAGCACTGGTAACTATGAAAAACACGACTGAACACTAATGGTATACTCAACACTTTACACTGACATTTGAAGGATCACCTGACGTTAAAGACTAAAGTAAGAACGCTGGAGGAACATCAAATTTTAACACGGAAGAGTTTTTTTTCTCCCAAATTAAAGCAATATTTCTTAATCTTGTTGTTTTTTTTACTGTACAGTTGCCCCAGGTTTAGATCAGGTGTGATGCCTGCTCATCTGACCTTTGACCTCGGCACTCAACTGCTGCCAGTTGTCTTTCAATGCCATGAGATTTCTGAATTCTACATGCAGGAACCGATGCATTCTTTTTTATTTTTTTATTTCTTTAAACAAAACAGATATGGCAGACACGGCCAAACATGGAAACTTTGGAGGACGTTGAGGAAAAAAAGCACCATATCATCAAGGTGAATAAAAGGTTTGATCAAAGCGTGCATTTACACACATTCATTTAAATATGGACAAAACCAACATTGGGTTATTTTTGTTATTAGATTTAAAACACATGGACCCTATTTGACCCAGTGTTCATATATACATATTTTTATGAATGAATATTTTCGCATATAAAAGATAATAAAAGACTGACTAGACAGATTAGATGGATCAATAGACAGATTGACACGTGTAGTCATTCGTTCTTGTGTATTTGATGACTAGCTTCCAGTAGTATCTGGCTGCAGACTTGCATGCAATCTGAGACACAATGCACTCAATGGAGCTAGTGAGGTCACTGTGAGAGGCGGGGTTAGGGGTGCACACTCACTGACAGCCTAGATTTTAGCCTCGTTTTAACCAAGCCGTCTGTTAGACTTTTAACCCTTATGTATTGTTCAAGTGGCTGTTTTTGCCCCCAATGACCTCCATTATAACTAAACTTGTTTTAATTGCAAAGCCATGACACCAGATAGTAACTCATTCTTTATTGTTGGTGGTTTCCCTGTTGGGATGAGATAAAACTAGTCATTTTTACTTTTGATCGTCAGTTGGCACCTTTAAACACCCCCAAAAAAATGCTTGCTGGGATGGTACCACGAGGCTGTGCTCACTTCTGGACAGAGGGGGTGTAGACTTGCAGCTAGTGCCGGTAAGAGGTGCAGACGCTGAGGCTGTTCTGTATGCGAGTGTTGAGGTTTTGAAACATCAGCTGACAACGTGTAGGTAGAGAGTAGCAGGTTCTGGGAGTAGATGAGCATGTCACCGGTGTAGACTTTGACCAACTTGGGAAGTCACTCACAAGACCTCAGCTTATGGGACATTAGCATTAAAATGAAACGTTTCCAGCAGAATATGACGCTTTAAAAAAAAAAACTCCATCAGCACTGGTAACTATGAAAAACACGACTGAGCACTAATAGTATACTCAACACTTTACACTGACATTTGAAGGATCACCTGACATTAAAGACTGAAGTAAAAACGCTGAAAAAACATCCGATTTTAGCACAGAAGAGGTTTTCTTTTCCTAAATTAAAGCCAAACTTCATAATATTGTGTTAATGAATTAATTAGAGTGTGTTGCACTGCTGGAGTGAAGGTTAACCAGTCCACACAGTTCATGCAGCTATAATCTTTATTATCTTTTATTAAGAAACTATGTACAATATTTACACGTTGGCTCCAGGTCTCTTGGATGAAGATCTCTCAGCGACGTGGTCTCTTCTGGTCGCCGCGCGTCTCTGGTGGAGATGGGGAGCAGGACCACCTTTATGAACCAAAATCGTTCTTTGTACCAGGCTGTAAACACCTTCTTTTCTGCTGTAAAGTTGGCCATTTTAACAGTGGGCTCAGTAGAAATTTGCTCCCTATGGAGCCAGGACTGCCAGAATTTCATTGAACTGCATTTTCAGTTACTTCTGTATTTGCTTCATGACGGAGAGCGGGAGGTTGCCGTTGTTTGGGCACAAGCTGTAATATTTACTTTTCTGATCTGGAAAGATTCTCATTTGCAAAGGTTTTTGTTTGCTTCCTGGACATCCCCAGCACAAATAATTAAATGATGAGTGGGGTGTTTTAAGCTGAAATGACACACACATTTTGGGGCAGCTAATATTTTTATTATGCTTGTAACATAACCCTTTATAACTGCAATGAAATGAAAGTAGTGTCAAATTTTTCTTCTGAATTAAAAGTAAAACTATCAGAAAGTAACAAACAAATGTAGGACAGGTACTTTTTTATTCCTTTCAGTTGTTACTGGATGGCGGCAAAGCTTGAAAGCAAATTTCCAGTCCATTTTAGATAAAATAAACTGAATTATTAAAGAGATGACTTTCATTTTCATGGCATAAATGAATGTAACTCAGCCTCTTGACTTTTCAACTCTTGTTTATTTCTCAATAGCAAAAAAGATGCCAAAAACAGACACCCAAAACCCTATGCATGCTGTGCGACACAGGGGCGTGAACCTGCAGGACCCAGACGCACAGTCCACTCGAAGCTGCTGTGGGAACTAAAGGCCTGTCAACACTCCATCATGGGAGACCACGACACCTTCTCCTCCCTAAAATCAGGAAGAGGAACCCTAAAACCAGGAAGAGCTCGAGGAAAACGCCTCACTCGTGCCACAAAGAGATTTTTCAAGGAAGACTTCTGGTGGACGGGGCTGAAAGTGAACGGACGATGGACTCTGTCATGTCTGGCAGTAAATATGGATTCTGTATTACTTTCAAGTCAACAAGAATTTCCACCTCAGTTCATCCTCATTATGCAAGCACCATGTAGAGATAAAGGATTGGAAAAGAGATAAAGGAACACAGAATGGACTGAAGAGTTATTATTAACCAACAAACCTTCCCATTCTCAGCCCCTGGAAGGGTCCGTAATGCCCCTTTTAACATTCAGAAGTCTTCAAGCGAAATCTACACTGAGTATCCATATGGTCTGGGCTCTCCCATTTAATCTCAACTCTAACACTGGAAGAAAGTCAGCACCTTAAACTTAAACTAACCCTTCAGTTATTCATCTATGAGCCACATCTACTAAATTTCTAACACAAAGGAACACCGAAGCAGAACTTCATATGTTTTATTTCAGCTTTATTTATTACCTTTGTTTGAACTGGTCTCCCTTTACGCAGCTCGTGATTCATCTATGACCCAAAAAGTATTGAAGAAAGTCAATGTTGTCTTCCCTATCCCATTTACTTCTCCCCACAGCATTGACCTCAAAGTTCAGTGTTGATGTTCACAAAACAACAGCGAGCTCTACGATGCCTTCTTAATCTTCTTTTAGCTTTGTGTAAACTACTGTTTGAGAGTCAACAAATTATTACATATATTTGCACCAATCAGACTGATCCAAAATCATTTTGCTTCATGATTAATTGCAAAATATCATTACACATTTAGTTGTCTGGATGCGGAAGTCAAACAACACCAGTCTCAATATGTGTTATTAAAAAGCAACAAAAAATATTCAAGCACCCACTAATCAACAAAGTGAATGATTGAGCACTGGGATGGCAAATATTGTGGAGATGCAGATTTTTGCCCACAAAGCCCCTGAAAAAGTGGAAAAAAACAGAAGTGCCTACTCCGTTTTTTCCGTGTTCTTTGTTTTGGGCTTGATTGAGGTCGGCTGACCATCTTAAAAGTAGCGGTTTTGAGACGATCCCGAGGTATACGGGCAATAAGCTGTGAGAATAACTTGCGGAGCGTGCTAGTAAACAGAGGAGTCGTTTCAGTTTTGTTTTATGAATGC